TCAGTTCTAGTTCAGTTCTAGTTCAGTTCTAGTTCAGTTCTAGTTCAGTTCTAGTTCAGTTCTAGTTCAGTTCTAGTTCAGTTCTAGTTCAGTTCTAGTTCAGTCTAGTTTCAGTTCTATTCATTCTAGTTCATTTCTAGTTCATTCTAGTTTGTTCTGAACATTGGCAATCATTTTAATCAAAACCCCCGACTTTAAACTAATTATGTCTTATATATGTTAATAGCTGCACATTAATATATAAATACTTATATTGTATTTTCCTTTATTTAATTTTAATAAGAACCCATCTGAACTGTACCAAAACTCTTGAAATTTGTGACATTGATTGTGTATCACGTTTTGTCTATTAAATTATTTTATGTTTATTGCAATTATCATTTTGGTTTCGTACTTAAGTTTATTGTCTTTGCAAAACACTAAGCTCCTGTTGCGTATGATAAATATTTATTTAGATTCATATTAAATATTCATTAAATTCACTATTAAAAGCGATAACTAAACATCTGTTTAAGATGGTTTTAACATATTTATCTGCGATTATATTTTGTGTTTAGTATTATTAAAGTATTTAGATATTTAAAAATATGTCTCTTTGTCACTTAAATAAATGATCCCTAAATCAAGTTATTTTTCTGAGAAATTATTAACTTAAATCATATTTGGTTTTAAAAAAATTATGTTTTTTTAAGAGTATAATTCTTTCATTTGAGCAGATTTACTATCACTAATAATAATAACATAATAACATATTCTCAGTAGAACCTATTACATTTGAGTTTCTTTCAAAAATTTTTAAAATGCATTTTATTGGACCACATTTTAGCTTGCCATTATAAATACAAAAAGTAAACTGTCAAGATTTAGGTTTACAAAAATTTGCATATTCTAAATAGCTGTTAGCAGTTGTCTTTCTTCTACTTTACTTTTAATTTTATTTTTATGCTTACACGCAAAGTTTGTTTTTAAAATTAAAATAACTTTAATTTAATTGGTATTTTTGTAAACTAAACTAATATTATTTCCTTTTTGCTCCTGCTCTTGTATAGTTTAAACTTTTCTGCTGCTTGAGCAAATATTTGATAAAAGTTCTTAACCTCTTTTCTTTTTAAGACATAAAATTTAAACCAACAAAAAAATAACAACCAACTGAAACTTAATTGATTTTTTGTAGGTTTTGTTGTTGTTGTAGATATCTTTGCAGCAAATGTTGACTGAAACCACAAAATGAAAATTTTATCATCAACGCATACAAAAAAATCTATATTGTACTTAGAAATGAATACAATCCCTATATGCTACTTAATGCGACATATATGTGTATACATCTGGAAGTGGTAACAATTGTGGGGGAAATTATAGCAATCAAAAAAGTTTACTAGAACTGAACTGGAACTAAATGAACTAGAACTGAACCAGAACTGAACCAGAACTGAACTAGAACTGAACTAGTACTGAACTAGAACTGAACTAGAACTAGAACTAGAACTGAACTAGAACTGAACTAGAACTGAACTAGAACTGAACTAAAACTGAACTAGAACTGAACTAGAACTGAACTAGAACTGAACTAGACTGAACTAGAACTAGAACTGAACTAGAACTGAACTAGAACTGAACTAGAACTGAACTAGAACTGAACTAGAACTGAACTAGAACTGAACTAGAACTGAACTAGAACTGAACTAGAACTGAACTAGAAGAACTAGAACTGAACTAGAACTGAACTAGAACTGAACTAGAACTGAACTAGAACTGAACTAGAACTGAACTAGAACTGAACTAGAACTGAACTAGAACTGAACTAGAACTGAACTAGAACTGAACTAGAACTGAACTAGAACTGAACTAGAACTGAACTAGAACTGAACTAGAACTGAACTAGAACTGAACTAGAACTGAACTAGAACTGAACTAGAACTGAACTAGAACTGAACTAGAACTGAACTAGAACTGAACTAGAACTGAACTAGAACTGAACTAGAACTGAACTAGAACTGAACTAGAACTGAACTAGAACTGAACTAGAACTGAACTAGAACTGAACTAGAACTGAACTAGAACTGAACTAGAACTGAACTAGAACTAGAACTGAACTAGAACTGAACTAGAACTGAACTAGAACTGAACTAGAACTGAACTAGAACTGAACTAGAACTGAACTAGAACTGAACTAGAACTGAACTAGAACTGAACTAGAACTGAACTAGAACTGAACTAGAACTGAACTAGAACTGAACTAGAACTGAACTAGAACTGAACTAGAACTGAACTAGAACTGAACTAGAAACTAGAACTGAACTAGAACTGAACTAGAACTGAACTAGAACTGAACTAGAACTGAACTAGAACTGAACTAGAACTGAACTAGAACTGAACTAGAACTGAACTAGAACTGAACTAGAACTGAACTAGAACTGAACTAGAAAACTGAACTAGAACTGAACTAGAACTGAACTAGAACTGAACTAGAACTGAACTAGAACTGAACTAGAACTGAACTGGAACTGAACTAGAACTGAACTAGAACTGAACTAGAACTGAACTAGAACTGAACTAGAACTGAACTAGAACTGAACTAGAACTGAACTAGAACTGAACTAGAACTGAACTAGAACTGAACTAGAACTGAACTAGAACTGAACTAGAACTGAACTAGAACTGAATAGAACTGAACTAGAACTGAACTACTGAAAGAACTGAACTAGAACTGAACTAGAACTGAACTAGAACTGAACTAGAACTGAACTAGAACTGAACTAGAACTGAACTAGAACTGAACTAGAAGAACTAGACTGAACTAGAACTGAACTAGAACTGAACTAGAACTGACCTAGAATGACCTAGAATAACTAGAACTGATCTAGAGCTGAACTAGAACTGAAACTAGAACTGATCTGGAAGTGAACTAGAACTAAACCAGATCTGAACTAGAGGTGAACCTCAATTAAATTAAAACTAAAATTTGGTGTTTTTTTAAAAATGTTATTTTCAGCATAAATTTGATTTATCACTAAAAATCCATTTTTTTTTTTTTTTTATTAAAAATAAAATTTTTCATTAATAATAAAATTTTTCACCCAAAAGCCAATTTTTTACCAAAAATTAAATTTTTCACTAAAAATCCAATTTTCATTCCAAATAAAATTTTTCACTAAAAATACCATTTTTTATTAAAAATTATTTTTTTTTAATCCAATTTTAAACTAAAATTCCAATATTTCATGAAACATCCAATGTCGACAACAGAATATGTTAAACATTTTCTTAACGACTTTCAACACTTTTAGCTTTTTAGAAATATAATTCTGTATGGATTACGATCCCTTTATAAATAAAAGAAAAGTTGATTGCTAAATGGTAATTTTAAAAAAATCGCAAAATTCTTTAGTAGAAATTACCATTTCCATTATGTTTACAAAAACTTCATAACGCTATAATTTTTAACACAATTTTAATCTTGATTTTAGGCAAACAATATTCCTAGTATATCACACACACACACACAAAATCACACACTTTTGGGGGAAATGCATAGAAAGCCAACAATAACATAAACACATTTACTCTATCAAAACAACAATTTTGTTAAGTTAAGCTTTTAACACTCCCCTCTACACATCTACGTATTGCTATCATAACGGAAAAAACAACAACTACAACAAAAAAATTATTGGCAAAACACAGGCAAAATATAAACACTCACACACACACTTAAATTGCATTGACTTAATGCAACATTTCATTAGCAATGAAAACAACCTGCGAGTAATGACAACAACAACAACACACACTCTTAAATATTAACTTGATAAAGCTGAAAAGTCTCTGATAACCCCGGACTCCCCTTACCCACTCCATTTATAACATAAACAAAACATAAAAAGAAACAACAAAGGAAAAAACTAAGCATACAAGATAAACAACAAGATTAAACAAAAGAATTTTATCCTGTTTCTTTGTTTTTTTTTCTTTATTCTCCTTTTTCTATTGTTTGTTTATTAATTTTCACATAAAAGTTTTTTTCTTTTTATATTCACACTCACACTTTAGATTACGTGGGATACGAAATAAAAATGATAAAAATCTCACTTTAACTCACCTTAAATTCTCTATGCGTGGCCTTCGACACTGTGGCCGATTGCGTCGATGGCTTCGATCCTTTTTACAACGGCAGTCACAATGCCAAATACACAAAGCTATCGATGAGATCAATGTTATCACAAATGGCACTGCAAAAAAATGTATTATATAGTTGACCTGATCGTCGTGATTGTAGGACGTCAGCACGACCGTTTTATTTTTACGCGAATAATAGCACGGATAGATGGCGCCCTCGACACCGTAGAAGGCATTAAATGTTTTACACGTCACCGTGGGCGGATAGCCACACCCTTTGATATTCACTAGCAGTGTGGCCTCCTCCGATTGCGTCCAATCGGCCGTGTAGTTCGTGTAGTCGGTCATGTTTTCGGGTATCGTTATATTCTCTTCGATAAACGTCACATAGATATGAACACACTTGTATAGATCGGAGGTGCAGCCCTCGCGACATGAACTCCACGAACAATTGAAAATGCCGACAAGATCTTCGCGTCGTGTGGTCGTGCAGAGTGTAGGGGAATCGATAAAATCGTGACTTAAGGTTGATATCGCCGGATCGACGTAGAGGGGAACGAGGAACAATAGAGACGCACCGGCGGTCACCGAAAAGAAGGCAAGAGTGGAGGTACCATAAAAACTGGCACGTTCGCGCCACGAACGATAGCGCCGATTTCCATTTTTCTTTTTTGGAGCCAGTTCTCGTAATTTACGTAACCGTAACTCTTGTTGTTGCTGCTCGAGTAGTAATTCCGAACTGCCACTCCTCATATTATTGTCCGTGCACACAGGGCGATTATTATAGGCACCAGCACCAGCACTAGCAGCGGCAGCAGTATCAGCAGCAGCACTATTAACAGCCGTGGCAGCAGCCGAAGCTGCTGCTTGATTTGTTGTTACTATTTGCGATGTGGATGATGCAGCTGCAACAGCAGCACAACCTCTGCAAGCAGTCGTGTAAGCAAACGTCGTCTGAGAACAACTCGTTGTTGTGGGAGTAGTAGTTTTACCCAAATATTGTTGCTGTTGTTTTCGTTTTAAAGCCTCACACGTTGAGCAACCGATAACAACAACAGCAGCTGTTGTTGTAGAAGATGTTGTTGCTGCAGTTGTGTGTTGATAGGGCTCAGATGTTAAGGGTGAAGTGGTGGGTAGTTGGAGGGGTTGCGATTGTTTTTGTTTTGCTAGGGGTGTAGAGGATTTGGAGGAGGTGGTGTGTGTGGGGGGAGGTGATGGTAGTTTGGCTGCTGATGAAGAGGATGTTGATGCTAATGTTGTTAGTGGTGGAGGTGAGCTCACAACGTTGCTAACAGCCTCTGTAGAGGGGGTGGTGTTGATAACAGTTTTCTGCTGCAGGCTGGGAGATGTAACAGTTGTATCAATTGATGATGAAATGGTTGAAGTAGTTTTCGAAGTGGTGAGGCCACCACACAGAGGTGTTGTAGATGTACAGGACTCCGAGTTGGGTAGTGTGGTAGAAATGACAACAGCGTTGGAATTCGAGTTCGAATTCGAGGTGGGTAAAATGGTGGAAATATTCTGAGAGCCAGAAGCTGTAATATTAATGTTGCTGACAATGTCGTCGTCGTTTTTAGTTTGTTGCTCTTGCTGTTGTTGCTGTTCCTGTTGGCTATGTATGGCTGCCGAAGTGGAAATGATGCTGGCGTTGTTGCTGTTGTTGTTGTTATTGTTGTTGGTAGTGGTGATGGCAATATTATTAGTGGTAGTGGCTGTAGCTGTGGTGTTGATGCTGATGTTGTTGCTTTCGTTGGCCGTATGATTAGCGGCGGAGACGACGACGACGTTGTTATTGCTGCCGGCTGCACGGGAAACAATACGATGAGCAGCAGTGGCAGCCGTAGCGTCTGAGACGCAAACGACGTCGTCGTTTTTAATACTTTTTGAGGCTTGTATGTTGCCAGTGTTGAAATTTTTGTTAAGGAAATAAAAACTATACAAATTTTGCTCGCTTTTTTTCTTTTCTATTATTATTTACTTTTACTATTTTTTTCGCTCTCAATTTATACTAATTAAAACATTTAAGAAATTTTCTTTATTTTTCTATTTTCTTAAGAATTTTTAGAAAACTAATTTTGAACACTTTTATTTAATTTCCTTGATTTCAAATATTTTTTCTTTTCCTTTTCCTCAAGCAGCTTTAACAAGAGTGTAAAATTTTAGTTTTTTTCTTTTTTGTTGTTGAAGAATTTATTCCTTCTTGCTCTCTTCAGTACACTTAAAATCACAACATTGCACTGAGATAATAACACGACTACTGAGACATTAACGTTACGAGCTGAATGGCTGCTCTGTTACGTTTTCATAACGGAAATGCACTCTCGCGTATGTATGGGTATTTTATTTTATTTATTTTCTTTACTTTTTTTTCTAGCTTTCTTTGCTTCTTATTTTCTCCTATACACTTTTAAACCCGTTGACACTCAACAGTCGCACATCATTTGTTAGAGTTAAAGAGACAGAACGTGTGAATATAGAAGATGAGAGTGAGTTGTTAGAGAAGAGAGTTAAATGAGTTATTTTCAATTTATTTTGCATAACGTTTTGTTTTTGTATTACTTTTTAACACCCGCACTTTGGTTTTACTTTTACTATATTTTCTCTCTCTCTCAGTTGCTATTTATTTAACTCTCTCTAGCTCAGTTGACCTTTAGCGCTTGCTCTTTTTTATTTTCACTCTTTGAGTAATTTTATAGTATACTTTTAGGTAGCTATTTATTTTGTATTTTTCATATTAAATGTGCTGTTGTTATTGTTGTTTATTTTATTTAAGGCAAATCAGCTGATTTCGGTTTATTTTAGCGAGAGTAAAACGTTTCTTTAATATTTGTCTCCTAAATTTTTTTCTTTTATTTTTTTTTTTTTTTTTCTAATTTCACTTTATTTCATTTTATTTTATATGGGTGGCCTAGTGATAATGAAAGATTTTGTTTTTGTTTTTTGCTTTTTGCTCCACAATTTTTATGTATAATTTCTTTGCGTTTTGCACAGGTTTTTCTTTTTCATTTACAGCTGTTTAAAGGTTGACTGAAGAAATTTTTTGTCTCGCTTTCTGGTTACATTATTTACAATCTAATGTTTTATCTTATGAGGTTTTATTATAAAAAATGTATTTTAATTTAAGTATAAAAAATTATTATTTATTTACTTAATTTATTTAATTTTCTTTTATTTAATGTTATTATTTTTTTTTTTTATAAAAAAATTTATAACTGTTTCACTTTGCAAATTTTTAATTTATAGATTTTCACTTTGTCTGCCTTAAGCATTTTTATGGGTGTTTTATTTTGTTTGCTGAAAAGATTTGAAGAAAAGTTTTGTTATACATATTTAAATAATTTAAATATTTACTTTATATATATGAAAGTCTGTTATTTAAATTTAAAAATTACCAAAAGCTGTTTTTGAAAATATTTGGAAAATGGCAAATGTTCAAAAAAAAATGTTAAAATTTAGAATTTTTCCTTTTCTAATTTTTAAATGAAATTTATCTTAAACAAATCAACAGAAAAAATTAAATTTAATTCATTCATATTCATATTTCATATATTTCAATAACAGTGTGGTCAACACTTTGTAATATACAAGTTTAAAAACTATTCAGAAATAGAACTGAATTATAAATGACGTAGAACTGAACTAGAAACTGAACTAGAACAGAACTAGAACTGAACTAGAACTGAACTAGAAACTGAACTAGACTGAACTAGGACTGAACTAGGACTGAACTAGAACTGAACTAGAACTGAACTAGAACTGAACTAGAACTGAACTAGAACTGTAACTAGAACTGATCTAGAACTGAACTAGAACTGAACTAGAACTGAACTAGAACTGAACTAGAACTGAACTAGAACTGAACTAGAACTGAACTAGAACTGAACTAAGAACTGAACTAGAACTGAAACTAGAAACTGAACTAGAAATGACTAGAACTGAACTAGAACTGAACTAGAAACTGAACTAGAACTGAACTAGAACTGAACTAGAACTGAAACTAGAACTGAACTAGAACTGAACTAGAACTGAACTAAACTGAACTAACTGAACAGAACTGAACTAGAACTGAACTAGAACTGAACTAGAACTGAACTAGAACTGAACTAGAAACTGACTAGAACTGAACTAGAACTAGAACTGAACTAGAACTGAACTAGAACTGAACTAGAACTGAACTAGAACTAGAACTGAACTAGAACTGAACTAGAACTGAACTAGAACTGAACTAGAACTGAACTAGAACTGAACTAGAACTGAACTAGAACTGAACTAGAACTGAACTAGAACTGAACTAGAACTGAACTAGAACTGAACTAGAACTGAACTAGAACTGAACTAGAACTGAACTAGAACTGAACTAGAACTGAACTAGAACTGAACTAGAACTGAACTAGAACTGAACTAGAACTGAACTAGAACTGAACTAGAACTGAACTAGAACTCAACTAGAACAGAACTAGAACTGAACTAGAACTGAACTAGAACTAAACTAGAACAAAGCTAGAATTGTAGTATTTTTTTTTTTACAAAAACTTTAGCTTTAGTCTTAAAACAAAATGTTAGCAACACTGGCCATTTTATATCTATTAGCTAATTTTCTGTGTATCAGTAGTTTTGCTTTTTCATGCAACAATAACAACAACAAAAACAACATAAAAGGCCTACATTAATTCATTGAGTAGTGGTCCCATTTTGCTGTATGTTGATGTAGGTTAGTTTAAAATCAGGCCATAGAATACCTTTTTTATTTCCGTCTTTCTTTACAGTTATTTTCTATGTTTTATTTCTTCGTACAATTTAGAGCAGGTTCAACATTAACATTGAACAGGTTTTTTCCAAAACTATTATGCTCTCACTCTCACTTATATTCTTGCTTATGCTCCTTAAAATACTCAACAGAAATAACAGCAAACACAAAAGGATATTAACAGTAATAGAGCTTAACTGTACATTTGAGTAAATTCTCTATTTCTCCTTTAGCCTTAAGTTTACATATTTTCTTTTTTGAGTTTTACTCAGTTTCCTTTTTTCGAACAAAAACAAGTCAATTTATTATAAGTCATTTGCCCTTATTGACTGTAACCTTAAAGAGAAAAAACGAACAAAAACAAAAACTAGAAAAACTAGTGGGTGGTATATATTATTTTTGTTTTTCCTTTTACAGCCTGTTTCTATTTTATTTTCTCTTTTTTGCAAAAACAAATGGAAAAAATCCATGCTGTTTTGTTTCTTCTTTTTTTTAAATTTTATACAATTTAAACTAGAAATACCTAAAAAAACAATTTAAATTTTTGTTTTTGTACTTTTATTATTTTTCGTCTTCCTTCTATTTTTATATAAATGTATGTTTGAAGAAAAGTGAAAAATGTTTCTTTTTTTGCACAAAATAGTTGAATGAAATTATAAATAGTATACGACAGAAGGAATTATAAGAAGGAAAATCAATAAATTTAATAATAAAATTAATAGCTGTGTTGTTGTAGTACAATTTATTACATGTTGTACGAAATTAAAAAAAAAAAAAAACAAAATAAAGCACAACGATTTATTAGGGAACATTATAAACAAATTATAAAAAATGTAAATTGTTTGTGCAATGGACTAAAATAAAACAATTTTTAACTTGTGTCGCTGTTTTAAGAAAGTAGGAGTTCATAATAAATTATATTTTACTACATTTAACAAATGCCCCATCATTAAGTAGTCAACAGGTGCTGAATGAAAGAAAAGTACATTCCATTATTAAAGTACCAATTTCTGGCCATTATTGTTGAGATGTTGAACTCAGCGGGATAATTATTTAAGTTTCAAGGAAATATTTTATTGTATTTTGAAGACAATTGTTTGCAAAAAATTCTAACAATGAAAAAGGATGGTCTGACTACAATAGGACCGAGGCAGCAGAGTGGTATTGTATATTATTAAAGAAGTGATTAGACTAAATATCATTGAAGCATGGCATATGGTCCAATGTGCCCATTCGAGTCTGGAATGCCTAAATTATTTTCCAGGAACTCTTCCAATCTAACTCCAAATAAGACAGAACTTATCCTCCGTGATGGAAATAAAATACTAAACTTAACTAAAACTGAACTAGAACAGAACTAGAACAGAACTAGAACAGAACTAGAACAGAACTAGAACAGAACTAGAACAGAACTAGAACAGAACTAGAACAGAACTAGAACAGAACTAGAACAGAACTAGAACAGAACTAGAACAGAACTAGAACAGAACTAGAACAGAACTAGAACAGAACTAGAACAGAACTAGAACAGAACTAGAACAGAACTAGAACAGAACTAGAACAGAACTAGAAAGAACTAGAACAGAACTAGAACAGAACTAGAACAGAACTAGAACAGAACTAGAACAGAACTAGAACAGAACTGGAACAGAACTAGAACAGAACTAGAACAGAACTAGAACAGAACTAGAACAGAACTAGAACAGAACTAGAACAGAACTAGAACAGAACTAGAACAGAACTATAACAGAACTAGAACAGAACTAGAACAGAACTAGAACAGAACAGAACAGAACCAGAACAGAACTAGAACAGAACTAGAACAGAACTAGAACAGAACTAGAACCCAGAACAGAACTAGAACAGAACTAGAACAGAACTAGAACAGAACTAAAACAGAACTAGAACAGAACTAGAACAGAACTAGAACAGAACTAGAACAGAACTAGAACAGAACTAGAACAGAACTAGAACAGAACTAGAACAGAACTAGAACAGAACTAGAAAACTAGAACAGAACTAGAACAGAACTAGAACAGAACTAGAACAGAACTAGAACAGAACTAGAACAGAACTAGAACAGAACTAGAACAGAACTAG